ACAAAGAGATATAGTAATAATTATTATCATTTAAATGTTTTAGTAATGCCATTTAAAAGATATATTTCTTTTATTGTGGTAACGAACATATAAGATAAAATTTATCATTTTAACCATTTTTATATGTGCAGATGTGACATTAAGTATATTCACATTCTTCTGCTACCATCACCACTATCCATCTTCAGAATTCTTACATCTTCCTGAACTGAAACTTCTCATATTACTACACAATAACTTTCTAATTGCCCATTCCTTCCAGTCCCTGGAAACCACTATTTAACTAGCCATCTCATGTAAACAGAATAATACAAAATTTGTCCTTTGGTAACTGGCTTGTTTCATTTAGCATAATTTCTTCAAGTTTTATTTATATTGTAGCATGTATCAAAATTTCTTTTTGTTAAGGCTGAATACTATTCCACTGTACATATTTGCTACATTTTATTTATCTATTTATTCATCGATAGACATTTGGGTTACTTCCACCTTTTGGCTGTTGTGAATAATATTGCTAAGAACATAGGTATACAAATATTTGCTCAAGTCTCCATGTTTACTTCTTTTGGGTGTATATCTAGTAGTGGAATTGTTGGATCACATGATAATTCTATGTTTAATATTTTAAGGAACTGCCATGCTGTTTTCCACATGGGCTACTCTATTTTACATTCCCATTAGCAATGCACGAGCGTTCCAAAAAAGATATTTTAAAAACTGAAAGTTAACAGTAAAACCACTGCAAAATATTGGGAAGGAGAGCTAGGTTACAAAAACCTAAGTGGAAGAAAGTTAACCTGTTTCATTCTTACCTTTTTATTTATCTAAACCAGAAGAGCTTCTCAAGTGATGAGTACTGAATGATTTTTCAGATATGTCCTTCTATGGATCCCCTATGTTTTGTGGAAGGTATGAGTGTGGTATGGAAGGTGGGCTCTGAGGTGAGGGGATCAGGCAGGGACTGGGGCTTACAGCTTGCAGCCTGGAGCAGCCTCCCCCATATACCCAAGTGTGCCTTACAAATACTTTCATTTTCCATATGGGCTAATATATGAAAAAGGCTAGGAAATGCTGCTCTAAACTATAGGGGCAAAGTTAGGATTAAAATCTGTAAGAGATGCAAAAGCATAAAATATTTATTCAACAGAAAAATCTAATGAATGGTTACTCTGTTCTAGGATCTAGGTCTGACTGGGGATAGCTGGCAGATACTGTGGGGTAAATAAGATAAATAATTATACTTTCAAAAAGCTTGGTTTCTTGAAGCTTCACCTTCAAGGACAAGCAACTAAGCAGTTACAGTACAGCATGGAAAGTAATTCATTGGGGGAAGGGGAACCACAAAGTGTTATATATAGCCACCAGCCCTCACCTATTTCGATCTTGAGATTGAAAGACAGAGCTCTCTGAACTCTTCTCATTTTCACTGTTACAAGAAGCCAAATGAAATATCTGTTTCTCATTTTGTGGGATGTGGATGTTCAGGGTACCTTAGGCATGTCAGGAAAGAAATAAACTGCCTGGACTGAGTAGAGCTGCTTATTAAAATTTTTAGTAGTGTTTGATGGACAAAGTGTCAGGATTTATAAAAAGCATTTGCATTATAATTGAGAAAAGAATTATGAAAACTCAAGGAAGCCATCCCTGAGAACTTCTCATGTCTGAACTCCAGGCTGAGTTGGGCTCTGGTTCTCCGTGCTCTCAGCACCCTAGGTTCATTTCTTACAGAAGCACTTATCACCCCGTACTGTCATTGTCTGGTTACTTACTGTGTTAGTCTGTTTTGTGCTGTTATAACAGAATACCTAAGACTGGGTAATTTATATAGAACAGAAAATTATTTTCTCACAGGTCTGGAGCCTGATAAGTTCAAGATCAAGGCACCAACAATTGGTGTCTGGTGAGGGCCTTCTTGCTGCGTCCTCCCACAGCAGAAAGCAAAAGGGCAAGAAAGCAAGTTAGCTGAACACCTTCTGAAGTCTCTTTTATAAGGGCTTTGATCTATTCATGATGGAAAAGCCCTCACCACCTAAACACCTCCCAAAAGGCCAACTTCCCAACACTGTTGCATTGGAAATTAAACTTCCAACACATGAATTTTGGAGGACATATTCTGACCACAGCACATACCTAAATCTCCCACTTCACTCTATGTGTAATGGAGGCAGGGATTCTACTCAGAAATATTTCTGGGAATAAGTAAGTGGAGCAGTAAGACAGCTATAAAACAACTGGGACCATTTATATGAAGCAGCCAAGATACTCACAATAACTTGGAGAAACGGCTCTGGAAAAGTAGACATTAAGTCTCCATTGTTGCATTGTTGGGGCTTCTGACAGCTGTGGCATGGTGGCATGGTACTACCACAGTTCTTCTAATCTAACACTTTCCAAAATACTCTTTTAGGTTTTTTTCCCTAAATTCTCCCTCTTTCCTTTTTCCCAGATAATCAATAGATGATTAAATGTCTATGTGAATTGCAACAGTCTGAGTTCATTTTGTTATTGTATTTTTTGTTAAATGGGTATAAGAAAACAAGACCTAGAAATACTGCCATACTTTATCTGGAGTCATTTTACAAGATTATTATCATCAGCATAATTATCTACTTTCCATACAATTTGATTGTTCATATTACACATATTTTTGACTTGAGGTAGAAGGATGACAAAAGGGTCTCATTTAACCTTTTCTGTTTTTAAATAGAAGCAAGATTATTTCTAAAAAGTCAATAAAGGATATCCCAGAGGAATTGAGGAAAAATGAGATGAGGACTTCGATAAAACATACTTTGGTGACAAACATTTTGATATAAAATTTTGTAAAAGCACACACACATCCTGATGAGAAGAGGATGAGTAATTTCTTTTTAATTCAGAGCAAGTGTTCTGATCTGGCTGAAATTCTGGGAAGTGCTGGAAATCCCCAAAGCAAAGTGCCAGATGCCATTTCTGGATCCTGGATACGTGGGCTTGGTTGCTAAGATGATGATGCCTCCTCCCCTTCACCACACTCAGCTGACGCCTGAGCGACAGGGAGTTGATGTACGCAGAGCAGGGATCTAACAATGTCAACTGTGCTGACATCATCCTAGCTGTGCAGGGCTGATGGGAATTCAGAATATCAAACATCATATCAAGGGCAGTGAGCAGGTGTGACTCATTTCCCTGGAGAAGCGGGAGAGAGGAAGGGAGAGGGCAGGATTATCTCACACTGACACACACATAGCCTTTAGACTGAGCTATTTGTGTGGCTTATTTAAAAGCAGCAAAACAATGTTCCGTCTCTCTCTTCATTTTTCTACCGGAAACACTTTATATTCTAGTCCTATGTGTCTCAGCATAGAATTGAGCCTTTCAACATCATAGTATATTAAAATACACATGATTTAGGATCATTACTTTTTATGTTACATAAACCCAACTAGGAGAACAATTCAAACAAAGAAATTTTATGTTCTTTATTTTCTCTTCAGGTATCATCTACTGAACTGGTCAGATGTAACTGAATTGAAAAGGAGCTGAACAAAAGAGCCTGGTATAGGTCTGATGAGACTGCTTTGGTATTACCAAATAAATATAGCATTTCTGTATTCTAGCAGAGTATATTGCTTGGTACGAGAGAAGGGGTGCATGATAAATGCTCAATAATTCCTCCTTGGGTGAATAATACAAAAACCCTGTACATTTGTAAGAATGAGCATTAATATATAGATTCTCATGTATTTTATGGAATTGATTATTTATCAATTGACTTTAAGGGATAATGGGTAAAAGACTGGATACAATAACAATTGTGATGTTAGTGAAGTTACTGATTTCATAAGTCTCTTATCCATTGAAACATCTTATTAGAATGATTAGGCTAGGACAATTAAATCAGAAAGGAGTGTACATCAAAACAGTAAACAAAACAAAACAAAACCCTTCTGCTTCCAAAGACTTAGTGTTTAATAGCAATGAAAGAGGTACAGTGAACTGACATGCATGTATTCTCTCCAAAATGACCCCAACGTGTCTTGTCACTCTGAGAAGTACTAATTTATCTATGTCTTGTGTCAGCCATAACACAAGGAACAAAAGGACAAAAATTGTTGTTACCCTGTACTCAGTGCTAAAAAGTACCTCTTATACTTCAATTTACTCTGCATACTTAGTAAAATGGCATATGTATGACAGATTGTGAAGCATATTGGAATCTATGTGTATTGGTTGTTATTGGTATAGCTTGAACAGCACAGAAACAGAAAGGTGTGTTTCAGATCAATCTATAGGATACTACTTGTACAATACAGATGGTGTTGGAGGAAATAGGAGGGAAGAACATGAAAAGAGAGGGGTGACTTCTATAGAATTATATGTGGAATGACATAAGAACTCCAAGTTCTTGCTATGAGATAATAAGTAAGTTGATAAGAGAGATGAAAGGATGTTAGAATGTTCCTAGAAGGCATCTTAAATTTTGAAGGTAGATGTTGAGATATGTAGAACAAATTTTCATTTCATTTTCTTTGCTTTGAAATTACGTGGTAAGGAATTATTCTATCTCTCTGTCTTCAGTCACAATTCCTAATACAGAGAGATTGAGATTCACACAATGTTTAATGGTGATGTTTGATTGATGATAATGGTGATGATGATGATGTTGACGAAAGTGATAATCTGTAGATCCTAGACTAGTGATCCTCAAACTGGCTTTTAGAGTCCTCTAGAATATTTCAGGGGAATATGTATGTGTACCTGAAGAGTTGCCATCATAATAGTCCCTGGGTCATGACTGCTATAAAAGTCCCCTCATATTTTCTTCTTTCACTTCCAGAAGGACCTGCCCAAAAGTTGTTATGGGTCCCTTTTGAGATGACTTATTTGACATGATATGCTGCTAGAGGACTCTCTAGGAAGGAAGTAGAAAGGATAAAGAGGCATGAACTAATTTTTCTTGAGACAGATTATTACTTTGGTTGAGAGTATGTGGTTAGCACTGTTTTATTAACCCATAGAGAGAAAATATCATCCCTTATCACCAATGGAGAGAACAACACTGCCGCTTTCTCCCTTTGGGGGTCAACCTGACTACCCAGCCTGAGATACAAAGGAATAATTTAGAAGCTATGTGGGGACGATTTTCATAACTGTTTGGTAAATTATTCTTCTGATATTTTGTTTGGGGATGACTGGGAGTCATGCCTACATTTCTTTTAATGGAGCCATAGTTATTTTTCTTCAGATAATCACATCTAGTGAAGAAAACTCCTAGATAGTTCTGTTGCCATAGAATAGATATTAAATTTGATCAGATGTAAAAGAAGAATATGGGGTTCTTAAAAACCTCTTGAGTTTGAAATGCAGAGTAGAGATAAAGATAGTTAAAAGCAGTGTTGGCTGTGTCTCTGTTGACCACAGAGGGTTATAAAGCAAAGACTATTGCTATTGTAAAAAGCAAATGTAAAAACTATTGTAAAAAGCAAATGTAAAAAGCAATCTAGATGCCCATCAACAGTGGATTGGGAAAATAAAATATGGTACATGTATACCAAGGAACATTATGCAGCCATGAAAAATAATGAAATTGGATTCTTTGCAGCAACATGGGTGCAGCTGGAGGTTGTTATCCTAAGTGAATTAATGCAGAAACAGCCAAATACTGCATGCTCTAATGTATAAGTGGAAGCTAAATAGTAGGTACACATGGGCGTAAAGATGGAAATCACAGATGGTGGGGACTACCAAAGCGGGGAGACACAATGGTTTAGAAAGCATCTATGGGGCACTATGTTCATTACTTGGTTGATGGGATCAATAGAAGCCCAAACTTCAGCATCACAAAATATACCCATATAAGAAGACTGCACATGTATCCACTGCATCTAAAATTAAAAAAAAAAAATTTTACAGGTGGAGAAAGTGGTACGAGAAAGATACTGGCAATTATATGATTTTCTAGAAAAGGTTAAGTTGATTGTGGGAATATTGTTAGCTAATGTGACCATTTTCTTAGGGGGTCCTACTGTTGTCAAGAAGGCTATTATATGGTTGGGCACGGTGGCTCACGCCTGTAATCCCAGCACTTTGGGAGGTCGAGGTAGGTGGATCACCTGATGTTAGGAGTTTGTGACCAGCCTGGCTAACTGATGAAACCCCATTTCTACTAAAAACAGAAAAAATTAGTTAGGCATGGTGCAGTTGCCTGTAATCCCAGCTACTTGGGAAGCTGAGGCAGGGGAATTGCTTGAACCTGGGGAGCACAGGTTGCAATGAGCCGAGATTGCACCACTGTACTCCAGCCTGGGCAACAGAGTGGAACTCTGTCTCAATAAATAAATAAATAAATAAACAAAAAAAACCCAATAATAATAATCAATCAATAAATAAGAAGGCTATCATATATTCTGTACAACTTAAAAAGGTGCAGGATTTGCCACCGTAGTTTTAGTTAAAAATATACTGTGATGCAAAAGTTACAGAGGCTTCACTTCACCCCAGAAGATAAAATTTCATGGCTCCAGACATAAGGCATGGTCTGCAGAGTTGGTGGTGGTAGTTGGCAGGGCTGGGTATGGGTAATGCACATAGAACCCACAACTAATCCGGAAGATTCTCCTGGCTCAAGTTGTCCATGAGTCACTCATCCTCAAAAGATAAAGAAAGGTTGGAGGTTACCTTAAGGAGTTCACATTACTTTGAGGATCTGAAAATCCTTATTCTAACTAGATCTTACAAGGTCATATTGGAATCAACTTAGGTTGGTAGAGGACACTGGCTCTCCAGAACTTGTGAGGAGTGAATTCTGACTTTGACACTAATATTGACCTCTTGAGCCTGGCCCTTTTCTAAACTGAATGCTGGAATGTTTTTTTTAAGGTTTCAAGGTTTTAAGCCTCATTGACTTAGCTGAAAAACATCACCCCTGGAAGTCTACCCACTCTGCAAAAGGTACAGAGACAGAGCGATTCTTCATCCAGGTAGAAACTACTTAATACATACCCACTAGTTTCACTGCAAAGACAATAGTAGACTCAACCCACAACTCATAGAGGATTTGTATTGCTCAAATGTTGACAGTGTAGTTTGTACTTTTTGTGGCAGCAGAGTCAGATCAAAATGATAAGCAAGTGGGCTATGCCTTTATGCTACTAAGACCAGCATTATGACAGTATTTGGACAAGAGACCAAGATTTTCTACATCCAGATCTTTACTGGCCATTGTCACTTAGAAAGTCCCCAAAAACTTTTCCACAGAGGAGACAAATCAAGGATAAGTAACATATTGTTATTGCTGGAGCTTTGAACACAAACTCCAAAGACAGATTTGGCTGGATAACTTGTCTTATAAATTTAAGAGAAGTTTTTCAGTTCAACAAAGTATATTGAATGGCCTAAAACCAAAGAGGCTAAAAAGCTCACTCACTTCATTTTCACCTTCCAACTGAAACCTGGGCTTGGGTATCACAACTTTGGCCTTACACACCATTGAGAATTAGAGGAAATGCAATGTCATAAGACCTTTGTCTCGATGCCAAAGTAAAATGGATGAGGGTGTGGATATTTGAGTTGTTATCTTATATCTTCAAAATCCTGGAACAATACCTGTCCAAGAGCAAACCTGAAGGCCTTTCCTAATTGCTTCCAAAATGTCCAACTCATGGAAATGAAGCCATGCATGTCCTCTGATTTACCAATTTTTTCAGCCCATTTCCTATTTAAGCTGCAGAGGAAAGCAGGCAACAAAGAAGACAAGCCAAGAAGGACTATCCATGTTTCCATCAACCGAGAGCTTCTTAAATAGGCCAATAGTTACCTCATGCTTTCCAGAAACCTCCTGTTGTTCTTGGCATAATGAAAATTTAAGAAATAGGCTCTATCTGTTGGATATCCTCTATTGGTAACTCTCCTATTGAAGTGTTTATGCTTCTGGGCTCATTACGACATAGATTCTATGGATGAATATTGAGAAGGCTTGAAGGACAAATATTTAGGACCCAACAACAGACACAGTGTGTGGCTCAGATCTTCACAGCAATTTCAGTGGCATAATGTGAAACAGAGTCCAGAGCTTTCACCATTAGGGTTAGTGCCCTGTCTAGATCAAGCTTTTCCCCTTTCTTTGAGGAAATTCTGCACATATGCTTTAAATAGCTTTTGTTTTTGTTTCTTGTTTTTTTTTTTTACAGGATCCCTTGCTAAAGTTATTTAGATATTATTGTCCTGATATATATTTCAATCTTGTCTTTCTTATTTTACAACATTAATTTTGTTTTAAATCCCATATCTCCTGAAGTGTGCCTCTTGCCTGGGGATATGGTTTTCCATTTTGATTGAGGGATTGAACAATAAAGGTTCATCTCTGTACAAAGGACCATTTATTATTTATGCGAGTCAGAGAAACGTGTAGCTTTTTGCAGTGTGTGGGAAATGGAAGAACTGAATATCCAACACATCTGATTGATAGTTACATTAAAGGTTGTCGGTTAAATAAGTCTATTTGGATTGATATAAGAGCATTATGTTTTTCTTGAAATATTATTTTAGTAAATATTTGGTATTTTTATTTTATTGCTTATCCTGCTGTATTCTTCAACTGCTGGCCACCAAAGGATCACAAAAAAATGTTGTAAAATGTTAATTGTTTAATATGTTTTGAAAAAGTAATATTAAATAAAACTATGTTTTTGAACATTGTATATTTCCTACAACTAAATATTGACCTTTAAGGTCCTAGGTTATTGCACTGATCTTTTTTCAGGGGCTCTGAAAAATCCCTTAAGGCAATATTATTTACTATAATTGGTTTCTTAGCATACTGGGAGATAAGGCACAATACAGTCTAGTGCTCCAATTTGGAACTGGAATGATGACACAGACCAATGCCAGGCTACGATTTCCTCTATGGCAGGGACTGGCAAATTTTTCCAGGTTGAGATATTTTTCTTCATTGTTTCCTTTTCTTTTGAATACCAATCTATCATTAGCTATTAGAGGGCACTTATTTATTTATTTATTTATTTATTGTTTGAGATGGAGTCTTGCTCTGTCACCCAGGCTGGAGTGTAGTGGCGTGATCTCAGCTCACTGCAACCTCCACCTCCCGGGTTCAAGCAATTCCCCTGCCTCAGCCTCCCAAGTAGCTGGGACTAGAGGCACACGTTACCATGCCTGGCTAATTTTGTATTTTTAGTAGAGACAGGGTTAGAGGGCACTTTAAAAAACAAATAAAATTCTTCTCTAAAAACACACAGTGAAGATAAAAGTTGATAATTCCTTTTCCTTTTTTAAAAATGTCATCAGGTTGCTTTTAACTTTTTTCTCATTTGGTTAGAAGTATTTTATAAGTGAAAAGGGTCAGTTTGAGCAATATCCTGAGCTAGTGACATTAATTCATTGTGTACATGAGCCATAGTGACTCAACTAGTCTTACTACCTTCTACTGAGTAATAGGTAGATACTAAATGTAACTCTCTTATCAACATTTATATCATTTTAGAACTCATGAGTCCCCAAACCACATTGAAATAATGATAAATTGCCTTTAAACCTTAAAATTATTTGTAATATACTTCTTTTTGGAAAGAAAACAAGCCAGAAGAGGTTATCTTTTAAATGATTCTGTAATGAGTGGTGTTTGTTTGCCTCCGAATCTAAACCAAGCTCCCACTTGGTGGTCTGTCCCTGGTTAAGACACATGGATAGCTAGATCTGTGTGGCTGCTAAAGAGGCATGAAACCGTTAAGCAAGAAAAAACAAAAACAAAAATAATCTTCACTAGAAGTCACTCACAGAAAGATTCCTAGGTAAGCTCTGTGACAGATGACTTCCACTAAAGTGGATGAAAGAGTTCACAGATGCTTTTGAAAACAAAGATAATAAAACTCAAAGAGATGTGACAAGGTTACAAATAATGCTTTATGAAATTAAAATATTTAAAAAATTGTTGACAAAAAAAGAAAATAGTTACTTATTAAAAGCGAATTTGTGACTTGGAAGAGCCAATGAAGGACATCTCTCTCAACAGAGTGAAAACAGAGAGAAATCATGAATGCAAAGCTCAGAAATGTGGAGCGAACAACCAGAAGGTCAACATGTAACCAATGGGAAGGAGAAGGAGAACAAACTTATGAAGGAGAATTGAAAATTTTAAAATTAATACATTTTAAAAATAAAGTCTATAAATTTAAAAGGCATTGAAGGCCAGGTAGGATTAATGAAAATATATATAAACCTAGATATACATTGGTGGAATTATTGAATTACAAAAATAAATAGAAAAATTTTCACATTTTCAGGCAGTGTAGTTAAAAAGCAATCGCCTCCACACAAACAAACAAACAAACAAACACACTTCTAGTTTATTTGTAAAGAAAAATAAAACTAGCATGAAACTTCTCATCCCCAATGCTGGATTCCAAAATATAGTAGAACAATATTTCTCTCCATCATACTGAAAAAAGAAGGAATGTGACCCAAGCAAAATGATGAAATATTTAGAAAACTATTGTATAATCTTGAGTTTGCAGGACCTTCTCTCAGAAATCAAACTCAGAAACCATAAGTGAAAAAAATGGATACATTTGACTCATAAAAATAAAAGTGTTTGGCTGGTATTAGATAGACAACATAAGCTAAATAAAAACCAAAAGATTAACTGGACATAATTATTTGCAGCCCAAATGACAGACAGAAAGCTAATTTAATTTCATTATATATATTGATAGAAAAAGGCCTAAAAGAAAGAAAAATGGAGCAATGATATTATTAAGTAATTATGAGGAGATAAAAATCTAAGTGGTCTGTAAACATGCACAAAAATGTTTTGCCATATTAATAGGAAAATAAAATTTAAACAAGAAGATATAATGTTTTATTCATCAGAGTAGCAAAAACTACAGAATTGAAGATCTAGTCCTAGCAAGGATGTAGGGAAGCTGACATCCTCATGGATTGCTTTGGTGTTTGACAATGTGGAGTATTATAATCTTGCTATAAAAAATAATCTATACATTTCTATTACAATTTAAAATCACATATCCATGACCCAATGACTCTATTAGCAAGATTCATCCTGCAGAAAGAAAAGTAGAATGTAGGTCATATGTATGTTTAACTCTGGTGCTTTTTGTAGTGGCAAAAGTTTCTACAGAGAAGTTGAATGATCATTAATAGAATAATGATAGAATAAACTAACATATAGTTGTGTACCATTCCTCAGTTTTTATCAGGACTGAGTTAACTCTTTTATCTACTGATCTAATGGAATATCTATAAAATATATTACTAAGGATAAATATTCAGTTGAAAGGTAATATATAGTGTTTGAGATCTCATTTTTATAAAACAAATAATGACAGTCACCACAAAACACTCTGTGTGTGTGTGTGTGTATATATATGTGTGTGTGTATATATATATATGTGTGTGTATGTATATATAGTACTTCTGTTTGCAAATATTTGTGTGGACATAGGGAAAATATGGAAAGAGACATAAACTGGTTAGCTTAGGAGAGTAGGGATGGAGGGAAGGGGAGGGAAGTATACTCTCTTGGGGACAAGGTCTTATATATTTTCATGTCTTCCTCAAGATTTTGAACACCATCTCTTGAAAACAGTCTGAATGAAAATATCTCTTAATTTATACTTTTCTTTTTATTTGCCATGTTCCTTCTAGACTTCAACAAAAAAGTAAAATGGATTTTATCATACTTGGAAAACCAACAATTGCAGTCTGGATTCAAGCATCACTGTTTGATGCACCCAACTTGAGTCAAAAAGATGCTTCAAATCCCACTAGGCTGGAGGTAAATATACTCAAGATTTTAAGAGTGTCTCTTGACAGTGTACAGAATAAGACAGCTTCTCAGCTTTCAGTGTTACTTCACGGTTTTAACCATCAAAAGAAGTAAGGTAAAAACATCTTTTAACCAAGTAAGTGTTGCTGGGGCCAATCTATGAATTAGTTATATTCACTGAGTTTAAATAGCTATTACAATGATTTTATTTTTTGATACTTTAAATGATTTCTTTGAAATGTTGGCTATAATGCCAATTCTTAAAGGAAGCCTGATGTTTCATGTAGCATAGTGATTCAGAGTGTGGGCTGTAAATCCAGGCTGTGTGCATGCAAAATCAGTCCACCAACTACCACCTCTGAAACCTTGAGCAAGTTAATTAATTGCTGTAGGCCTCAGTAACCTTTTCTGTAAAATGGGAGTAATAGGAGTACCAGTATTGTAGGGTTGTTGGAAAGGTCTTAGAACAGTTTCTAGCACATAGGAATGCTAAGGAAATGATAATTATTAATACTTATTGTATGCTTGATCATTAAAATTACAAACATACCTAGAGATTCTGACTCACACATCAGAAACATGCAGAGACCTGAAGACTGAAAACAATCTTTCGTAGTCTTCTAGCAACAGGAATACCTTAAATGCACAACTCAGGCATTCAATTTTTTGAAGTGTTTTATTTCTTTATAACGTCTCATTTTTGTTTATATTTTTTTCCCTGAAACCGAATGGAAGTTTTCTGGACTTTTTAATGCTTGTGGTTATAGCTATTACAATGGGCTTCTGTATTAGTTGTTGACTGCTGTGTAACAAATTACCCTAAAATTTAGATTCTTAAAATAATAACAGACATACATTATCTCTGGCAACTTGTAGCTGAGTGATTCTGGCTTAGGGTCTCTCAAAAGACTGTAATAAAGATGTCACCTGTTGTTGCAGCCATCTGAAGATTTGCCTGAGACTGAAGGATTCACTTCTACGATGGCTCCTTCAGGTAACCAAGTTGGTGCTGGCTGTTGGTGAGAGGCCTCAGTTTCCCACCATGTGAACCACTCCATAAGATTGGAGTGCCACAGTATCTTTAATGACTTCACCTTGGAAGTCACATTCTATCATTTTTGCAATATTTCATTGGTTATTCAGTGTGGAAGGAGACTATATAAAAACATGAATATCAGGAGGCTAGAATCCTTGGGGCCATCTTAGATGCTTATTACCATAGCATTTTTACCTATTTATATATTTCATTTACTCAGTTAGTACATCTGTCAGTATCACTTAAACCCAATGCACTAGGCCAGGTGTTGTGTGGGGCATAAAGATATGTAAGTTATAAGTCCTGCTCTTTAAAATTTAATACCTGGTGAAAGGAATTAAACACCCACCCCACAGCTGCAGTACAAGGCAATATAGGATAAATATCAAGGATACAGTGATGTCAGTAAGCTCCTCGGGTGTTCAGAAGAAGAGGAGCAATTTCTCCTTGGGGTTTCAGAACAAATGGAACGTGATCTGGGTCTCTAAGAATAAAATAGGATCACTGTGGGCAAAGACAAGTGAAAATACATCTCACACTGAGGAAGCAATGTGAACAGGATCATGAAGTTGAGAAAGCAAGCTGAGTTCAGGGACCAGCAACCAGGATACTTTAGAATAGCACATGTAGAAAGTGGAAGGATAAAGGGAGGGAAATGTAGGCAGAGACCAGTTTATGCAAGTCCTTATAAGCTATGTTAAAATTTTTGAGCCTACTCAGCAAATAATAGGAGCAGATAAAATTTCTGAGCTGGTAAGTAATGGGATAAAAAGGAGCTTTGAGCTTACTCTCCAAGGGGAATCAGAGAGTGAGAAATCAGATACAGAGAAACAGGGTAGCAAGAACTTACAATAAGGAGAGAAGGTAATACAATAAATATTGTAAGTAGAATTAGAAAGGAATAATCTTGCAGGAGGAATCTGAAGAAGTTAGCAATTCATTGGATACCACATTTGAGGAAGCTGTCCCAGTAACTTGAGATTTGCTACCTGTTTTGGAGGAGAAGTTGGTTTAAAGAGGAAGATGGTTTAAAGAATGTGTTTTAGGACATATCATTTAAAAAGAACTTGAGGATTCCTTGTATGCTCTCTTTTCCTTTTCCCGCACTGAGGTTTAATCTCCCTGGGTAGTTGCTTCCTGAGATGAATCCTGGAGACCTGGGAAGTTGGGGAATCCTGGCACTGAGGTGAGGAAAGAGGGCAGTGTGGGGAAGAACAGGGCCAGAACCTCAGGAAATTGAATTGAGTTAGTTGGCTCCAAAGTCTGTTGAGCTCAATTGGTAATCATGATGGTGGACAAGGGATGGGATTGTGAGAAAATGATGAACTGAAAAATAATATAGTGGCTAAGGTCACGGATTTTGAAGTCATACGGGCATGATTAAAAATCCAGGTCTCTATTTCTAGCTGACCTTGGCGAAATGCTTAATTTGCAGGAAGCTCAGTTGCCTAACCTGTAATAAATAAGATTCATAATAGGGTCTTGTGAGGTTTCAATGAAATGTTTGGCATATCAAGCTCTCAGCATAGTGGCTGGCACATAGAAAACACTCTGTAATGAACAGTAGATTTATTGAGATGGTGGGCTTTATGCTACTACAAAAGGAGATTGATAGTGTCCCAGGATCTTTTAGACCAGATGAGTAGAATTACTGATCTCTTTTGGAATCTGATTAATCCCTTACTGCATACACCTGGGGGGAGGTGAGTTCTCACATGTGTTTGTATTCTAAGGAGATGTCAGGTAAAAGGGGTTGAAAAAACCATTTGCAAATGTGCTAATTAATAAACACACCTTAATGTTCATTCTTATTCTCCATGAACTCTTATCAACAGTTTTACATATAGTGTTCCTTTCACTCTAAATTAACAAATGAATCCACACATTATCTACTTGTGGGTTTCTTCCCAATAGTAAAGCTTATTGAGATAAATTATATGCTCATAAAATCACATATAAAAGTCATAAATGTGATTTCTTAATTATTACAATTTCTGTCAGTTAAGGTTAAAAAGGAAAGTTGGTATCCTTTGGGATAATTCACCAAATAGGATAAGTTTTCCAGGAATCTTTGAGTTGCAAGAGACAATAAATTCAGTTTCAGAATGGGGAACTTACTGGCTCAACTGGGAATTCCAAGGGAAATGACTTCAGGAAAAGCTGGATCTGGAGGGGTGGGGCCAAGATGGCCAACTAGAAACAGCAGTGGTCAGTGGGAATCGAAAAGAACCATAATTAGCATCTGAATCCTTCAACTGCAACAAGGTATCCAGGTTCTCTCGTCAGAACCGACTAGGCGGGTGACGTGATCCATGGAGAGAAAGGAAGAGCAATGTGATGTGGCGGCCCTCCTGAGAGCCACACGGGGTAGAGGAGTCCCCACCCCCCAGCCAAGGTAGGCGTGCTACCCAGCAGGGGAAACCGTGCTTTTTCCAGGGAGCGGTGCAACCCACAGAGCGAAAGATCCCACTCGCGAACCCATGCCACCGGGGCCTAGGGTCCCAACCCCAGAGCCGTGCAGATTCTCAACAGCCTCTCAGCTAGAATCTGCCTAACTCTGCGGAGCCCCCAGGGCGGGGGGCGACCAGTACCACAGCTGCAGCTGCCTGCTGTATAAGCTCTTTGAGCTCCTTGTGGGAGGGGCAGCAGCCAGCACTGGGACTCATAACTGCCTAACACGCAGGGGGATTGGTGGGGAGGGGCGGTATCCATCTCTATGGCTCCAGGCTGCGCTTTTCCCCTGCTGGAGCCAGGGAGGCTGGACTACTTGGTCCCCAAGAGGTGTCCTCCACAGCTCAACACGCTGGCTGTGGCAGACTGCTGCAGAGGGGCAGAGCGCCTCTTCAGGCCTGACCCTGACACATCCTTCCTCCCTGGGTGGGGCTTCCCTGCAGGAACTCCAGCAACTCCAGCCAGAGGCTCAGGGACAGGACGCAGATCTCCCTGGGCCAGAGCCTCTAGGGGGAGGAGTGAGTGGCCATAGTCTCTGCAGACCAGCAGACTTAGCCTTTCCTCTTAGCAGTTCTGAGGAATCAGGGCAGACCAGATGAGTGGGTTTCCCCCCAGTGAAGCACACCCCCTCCATCAAGGGACAAAGTACTTCCTTAAAAAGGTCCCATTCCCCATGCCACCCAACTCGGTGAGACTCTCCCACAGGGGTTGTCAGACACGCTATACAGGAGCGATTATACTGGCATCAGGTTGGTGCCCCTCGAGGTCAGAGGTCCGAGAAAAAGGACCACACCACCCATCTTTGCCGTTCTCCAGCCTCCTTTACTGACATCTCCAGGCTCAGGAGCAAAACAGATGAATAAGGCCTCAAGAGAACCCTCAGCAAACCTCAGCAGCCCTACAGAAGAGGGACCTGACCATTGAAAGGAAAACAAACAAAGAAACAGAAAGCAACAACAGCAACAGCATCAACAACAAAAAAAATGCTCCCAAAAACTCCATCTAAGGGTCAGCAGGCTCAAAGATCGAAATTAGACAAACTCACAAAGATGAGAAAGAATCAACGAAAAAATGCGGAAAACCCAAAAGGCCAGAATGCCTCTTCTCCTCCAAATGATCCCAACGCCTCTCCAGCAAGGGCGCAGAACTGGACGGAGGATGAGATGGACAAACTGACAGAAGTAGTCTTCGGAAGATGGGCAATAAAAAACTCTGCTGAGCTAAAGGAGCATGTTCAGCAAAGAAGCTAAGAACCTTGATAAAAGGTTAGAGAAGCTGCTAACTAGAATAACCAGCTTAGAGAGGAACATGAATAAGCTGATGGTGCTGAAAAACACAGTACAAAAACTTTGTGAAGCATACACAACTATCAACAGCCAAATAGACCAAGCAGGAGAAAGGATGTCAGAGTTTGAAGACCACCTTTCTGAAATAAGGCATGCAGACAAGATTAAAGACAAAGGAATGAAAAGGAACGAACAAAGCCTCAAAGAAATATGGGACTTCATAAAAAGACTGAATCTGTGATTGACTGGAGTAACTGAAGGAGGTGGGGAGAATAGAAACAAGCTGAAAACCACACTTCAGGATATTATCCAGGAGAACTTCTCCAACCTATCAAGACAGGCCAACGTGCAAATTCAGGAAATACAGAGACCACCACTAAGATACTCCACAAGAAGATTGACCCCAAGACACGTAATTTTCAGATTCTCCAAGGTCCAAATGAAGGAAAAAAAATGTTAAGGGCAGCCAGAGAGAAAGGCCTGGTCACCTACAAAGGGAAGCCCATCAGACTAACAGAGGACCTCTCAGCAGAAAATCTACAAGCCAGAAGAGATTGGGGGCCAATATTCAGCATTCTTAAAGAAAAGAATTTTCAACCCAGGGTTTCATATCCAGCTAAACTAAGCTTCATTAGCAAAGGAGAAATAAAATTATTTCTAGACAAGCAAATGCTGAGGGATTTTGTTACCACCAGGCCTGCCTTGTAAGAGCTCCTGAAGGAAGCACTAAATACAGAAAACACAAAAACAAAAAAACAAAGAAAACCGAATAAACAAAACCAAACAAAAACAATAGTACCAGCCACTGCAAAAATACACCAAAATGTAAAGACCAATGACACTATGAAGAAACTGCATCAACTAGTGTGCAAAATAACCAGCTACCATCATGATGACAGGATCAAATTCACACATAACAATACTGACCTTAAATGTATATGGACTAAATGTCTCAATTAAAAGATGCAGTCTGGCTAATTGGACAGAGTCAAGACCCATCAGTGGGCTGTATTCAGGAGACCCATATAACCTGCAAAGACACACATAGGCTCAAAATAAAATATTTACCAAGCAAATGCAAAGAAAAAAAAAAGCAGAAGTTGCAATCCTAGTCTCTGACAAAACAGACTTTAAACCAACAGAGATCATAAAGACAAAGAAGGGCATTACATAATGGCAAAGGCATCAATGCAACAAAAAGAATTAACTATTCTAAATATA